GTCGGCGAGGGGCGGCTGCACAGGCGCTTCGTTTTCGTCGAGCTGTTCTGTGGCGCGGGCTGCATCACGGCGTCGTTGAAGGCGGATGGCTTCTCCGCAATCGGCTTCGACATCGGGCGGGGCGCTCACGAGAATCACTTGGTGCATGAGTTTTTTGAGGTGCTTCAGGGGTGGATCACTTCAGGCTGCATAGCCGGCATCTGGCTTGGTACGCCTTGTACGACCTGGAGTCAGGCCCTTCGCCGACCTCTGCGCTCGCGGCGGCATCCCATGGGGTTGCCAGGGCTCTCGGTCAGGCGAGCAGCGAGGCTGGAGGTGGGCAACTTGACCTTCAAGTTCAGCTGTAAGGTCATCCGCCTCGCCGTGAAGTGGAACATCGCCGTGTATCTTGAGAATCCAGCGGGCTCCTTGATGTGGCACGCTCCCGAACTGGCCCGGCTTTTGCGAGCGCCGTGCGCTCAGAAGATCCAGTTGCACATGTGCCAGTTCGGGGCGCCGTGGCGGAAGGCGACTTGCGTCGCCGCCTGGAACTCGTTGCCTTGTTGAAACTCAGTCTCCGATGTTCTGGTCGCTCTGGCATGTGCTCTAAGTCGCACAAACCGCATGTGATATTGTCTGGACACGCCCCCACGGTCCTCACTTCACTCGTCTGGCAGCTGAGTATCCCAAAGGATTCGCACAGAAGTTCAGCCGGGTTTTGGAGAGATCTTTGAGGATAAGCGTGCTCGGAAGTTTTCAAAATATGCTGTTGACGTGGCTTATGGGAAATGAAGTTATATATTCGGCCTCCTCTTGCATATCAGTAAGTCGGCCAGTTCACCATACGGGTACGGGTGTGTGCTCTCGGCTTGGCGTTCCTCGGCATCGACGTATCGAAGTCACTGGCCTGGTCAGCCCCTCACACAAAAATGAGCCTGGCGGGAGGGAACGGTAGGCGAGCTGTCACATTTCACATGTTTAGGCATAGCCCATCCTGGATCCCGCCGCAACTGCCACGCTCAAGTCTTCCCTCCCTCCCTCCCCTCTCGCGTGCCTTTGTGGGTGTGTGTCTGTGCTGTGCCTCTCTCGCCTCTCTCTTCTCCTTTTAATGCTCAGCAAACTGTAACGCAATTTCTTTAGCAGGGTGTGTGCTCTCGGCTTGGCGTTCCTCGGCATCGACGTATCGAAGTCACTGGCCTGGTCAGCCCCTCACACAAAAATGAGCCTGGCGGGAGGGAACGGTAGGCGAGCTATATATATATATATATATATATATATATATGTTTGCGCATCGATATGCATGTATGTGTATATAGACACATCCACACGTATACATACATATATATATATATGTATATGTATATGTGTGTGTGCGCATACACACGTGTACATGAATGTATGCTTGTCTGTATGTATGTTTGTGCATGCATACGTATGTATGCATGGGAAGGAGGGAGAAGGGGGAGGGGGGGAGAGGGGGAGGAGGTGGGGGTGGAGGGGAGGGGGAAAAGGTGGAGGAGGCAACGGGGGGCGGCAGGGACATCAGCAGCGAACGGCAGAGGGCCGCGCGTTGTGGCTCTGGCCGCGCGCGGCCCCCCACGGGGCGGGGCCCGCCTCCGCTCCCTAATTTTTGTCCCCCCCTCTCCCCCCCTCCTCCCACCACGGGGCCCTCCCCTCCCCTCCCACCACGGCCCCTCCCACCACGGGGCGGGCCCGCGGCCGGCGGCGTCCTGGGGCCCTCTTGGAGCCCTCTTGGGGCCCTCTGGGGGCCCTCTTCGTGCCCTCTGGCACGACGGCCCCAAGACGGCCCCGACACTGCCCCAGGGACGCTAGAGCTGTTCAACTTCGGTGAGCTGTTCACCCACGGTGTGCGAATCTGCGAATCCCAGGTTCAGCACACCGTGGATTTAATCCACGGGTTCATACTAGTCTCTACTACATTGCAGGGCCCAGTGCGTGCCAGAAGGGCGCAGGCCCCAATGCACCGAAACCGCCCCGGGCTGGCCCCGGGCCGCCCCGGGCCGCCCAGGCAGGCCCCAGGACACGTCGAGAGGGCCCCCAGAAGCCCCCAAGACGGCCCCGGAGAGCCCCGGCACGCTTAAAGATGGGCCCAAGACGCCCGAGATTCGCCCCAGGCGGCCCAAGAGGCGTCCAAGACGCCCGAAGAGGCCTCCCAAGAGGCCTCCCAAGAGGGCTGCGAGCGACAGAAATCGTAGATTTCTACTGTGTTTTTCGATGTTTTCGGCCTCCTCGCCTCGTCGGCTTCCCGACGCTCCAAGACGGCCCAAGAAGCCCCCCCGACCGCTCCAAGACGGCCGAAGAGGACCCCAAGAGAGCCCCAAGACGGGCCAGGAGGGCCCCCAGACGGTCCCAAGACGCCCCAGGACGGCCCCAGGACGGCCCAGGAGGCGCCCAAGACGGCCCAAGAGGCACCCAAGACGACCCCAGGAGCGGCCCAAGACGGCCCACGACAGCCCAAGAGGCGCCGAGGCGGGTCTCAGACGGCCCCAAGACGGCCCAAGAGGCACCCAAGACGGCCCGAGAGGGCCCTAAGAGCCCCCCCGGGAGGCCCAAACGAAGGCCGAAGAGGCTCCGAAACGGCCCCCACGAAGCCTTCAGTGCCTTCAGAATTCCCTCCAGGAGCGGGGGAGCGGACGAGAGGCGACAGGCATATCGCAGGCAAAAACGCCCCAAGAGATCCCCAAACGGCCCCCACGAAGCCCTAAGTGGCTTCAGAATTGCTTCCAGGAGGGGGGGAGCGGACGAGAGGCGACCGGCATATCGAAGGCACAAAAGAACAATGTTGGACGCTCCGAGGGCCTTCGATGTTTCTCCGTTGGGGAGAGTCGTCGTAGGATCGACGATTGCCGACCGAGGGCAGCGAATCCAGTGGAGGCCCAAGAGGCCCCCAGGAGCCCAAAGAGATCCCCAAGAGGTGCCACGGGGCTTAAAAACTGCTTCGAAGCGAGGGGGGCGGACGAGGGGACCGCCTCAGGAGGTTTTGGACGGTTTTGGGCCTCAAAATCGTCCGCTGTACGACGGTTTTGGAAGGATTTTGGCCTTCTCGCCTTTTCCGCTTTCCGACGCTCGAAGACGGCCCAAGAGGCCTCCAAGAGCGCCCCAGAACGGCCCAAGAGGTTTCCAAGAGCGCCCCAAGACAGCCCAAGAGGGCCCCAAGACGACCCAAGAGACGCTCAAGACGGCCCACGAGGGCCCGAAGACAGGCCCAAGAGGGGGCCAAGAGGGGGACCACGGACCGAAAATCCGAGCCTTCCGCCCCAAGAGGGCGCCAGGAGGCCCAAACAGGCCCCCAAGAGGCCCCAAGGGGCCGCCAAGAATCCCCCGAAGAGGCCCCAGGAGGCTCCCAAGGAGCCCAAACGAGGCCCCTACAGAGGCCCCAACAGCTTCCAAAATGGCCCCGAAGAGGCCTCGAGCCCGCCTCCGAGCTTCCTCGCCGCGAGGGTGCCAACACGGCCCCAGACCGGCCCAGGACGGCCCAAGGCGCGCTCAAGACGGCCCAAGACGATTCCAAGACGGTCCCAGGAGGGTGCGCCCAGGACGGCCCAAGGACGCGCCCGTTCGGGGCCTCAAGACGGGCCAAGATGGCAAGAGAGTCCCAGCTGGCAAAAATCGTTAATTTTCCATTGTTTACTGTTACACCCTTTGCGTTTCCCGCCGTTTCGGCGGTCCGATGCACCAAGAGGCCCCAGAAAGTCCCAGGAGGGTCCGAGGAACCGCCCAGGAAGGCCCCAAGACGGGCCAAGACGGACCCAGCACAACCCAAGGCGCGCTGCGACGGCTCAAGACGGCTCCAAGACAGCCCCAAGAGGGTGCCAACACGGCCCCTGCTGGGCCCAGGACGGCCCAAGGAGGCGCACAGGAGGGGCCCAAGACGACTCCAAGGCGGCCTCCTCACGGTCCCAGACGGCTCCAAGACAGCCCCACGAGGACCCCGATGGGCCCAGGACGGCCTACGGACGCGCCCATGAGGGGCCCACGACGAACCAAGACGGCCCCATCAGGGCAAACGGCGCCCTCAAGACGGGCCTAGACGGCTCCAAGACGGCCCTTTGAGGGAGCCAACGCGGCCCCACACCCTTCGGGCGCACACTTGGGGGGGCTGGGAGCTTGCGACAAGTCTCCCACATTCATTGTCCTGCCCCATTCTGTTCGCCTGGAGGCCTCCTCCAACCCTGTGGGCGAACAAGAGGAAACCCAGCGGGCCGCCAACCCTGGGGCCCGTGGGCCCCGCGCCGCTTGGGCAGAAGACGAACGCCGGGTCTGACAGGCCAGCTACCGCCCCCCTTTGCCCGATATGCTGTGCCATTCTGTTCCCCCAGGGGCCTTGGCAAACTCTTCGGGCCAAGCAGACCGGACCCCTGGGACAGCAGCCAATTGATATGACCCTGGGACCTCTCCGCATTCTTCGGACGAGCATCTGGGGGGCCCAGGAGATTCGGACATGTCTTCCCCATTCCTTGCCCTGTCCCGTTCTGTTCGCCCGAAGGCCTCCACAGACCCTCTGGGCGAACAGAATGGGACATGGCGAACAAACCCTCCCGTTGGCGGTGATGCGACTGGATCGCACCATCAAGGCGCGCCCGGAGGTGATGGCCGACCCAACAGCGGTTTCTCTTAAGAGTTCACTGGATTTCAAATTTTCTTGAAGCTCTCTTGGGCCCTCCCTGTAGATCCTTGCGAGCCTCCCCGGCGCTTTCGGTGGCTTTCCCCGATGGCCTCCCGAGCCCTTCCCCGAGCGCTCCTGAGACGCCTCAGATGGGCTTCGACTTCGACGCACATCCCCGAGAGACTTCGAAACTGTCCTCAATAGGAGGGGGTCGAACGAGCAGTGCGCTGGGCCAAGCTGCCGGAGCGCCGCAAGAGCTCGGACACGAAGGCGCGGTCTCGCTGCCGCCGCCCGAGCCGCCGCCGTGTTTGTAGATTTTCGGTACAATCTGCGCCGTTCCTCCGAGAACCATTCCAGAAAGATGTCGTGGACGGAGTCCACGGGTCAGCCCTAGTGTGCTACAGCGCTGGGATCAGCGCGTGCGAGAAAGGCGAGCAGTGGCAGGTGGCGCTGGCGTTGTTGAGCGAGATGGGGAAGTCGAAGCTGGAGCCCGACGTCAGCTGTACTACAATTCTGGTCGTTGCGCGCGCAATGGGCGAGAAGTTCGCGAGCTGCCCCCTGGCGCCCGAAGCGCCCCGGTGCTCCCCGACGGCTCCAGAGAGCCCCCAGGTGGCCTCAAGACGGCCTCAGACAGCCCGAAGACAGCTCTGAGACGCCCGGTTGCGCGCGAAGACGGCCCAGGAGAACCCGAACGGAGCCCAATGACCGCCCAAGACGGCCCGGCGACGGCCAGGTGGCCCCGAAAACGGCCGAACCGGACCCCGATGACGGTCCCCCGAGGCCAAAATCGTGGGTTCTCTGTTGGCTTTGAAGGTTTCCCATGTTCTTGCCACTTCCGGCCAAGAACGGCCCCAGACGGCTCCAGGGCTATCCCAGATCGCCCCACGGGCCCGAAGATTGCCCAAGAACCCACGACAGCCTCATAGAGCGCCCAGTGGCCCCCCAAGACAGCTCCAAGAAGGCCCCAGGAGCTGCCCAGCATGCCCCACAGCGGGCTCCAAGACGGCCTGGGAGCCCAGACAGCCCTCAGTATGGCCCCAGGGCTGCCCAAGAGGCCTCCAAGACGGACCAAGAGGGCCGCAGAATGGCCGAAGAGGGCCCCCAGAGGCTCCAGAGAGACCTCCAGGAGGCCTCGAAGCTCCCGCCACTCTGCCCCCCCCCCCCCGACAGCCGGTTCGGGGGAACGGAGTGGGCATGCAGACACTCCAGAGCCCCTACACCAGCACCCGCACCCTTTGCTGTTTCTGGGGCCTCACCGCTTCTCTCGTGGTTCTGCTGGCTTCGGCCTGCCATCCGTGGATTTTCCACGGGCGCACACCAGTCAGTTACAGCGCTGGGATCAGCGCGTGCGAGAAGAGCGAGCAGTGGCAGCGGGCTGTGGCGCTGCTGAGCGAGATGTGGGAGGCGAAGCTGGAGCCCAACGTAATCAGCTACAGCGCTGGGATCAGCGCGTGCGACAAGGGCGAGCAGTGGCAGTGGGCGCTCGCGCTGTTGAGCGAGATGCGGGAGGTGAAGCTGCAGCCCGACGTCATCAGCTACAGCGCTGGGATGAGCGCGTGCGAGAAGGGCGGGCAGTGGCAGCGGGCACTGGCTCTCCTCAGCGAGATGTGGGAGGCGAAGCTGGATACCGACGTCATCTGTACTACAATTCTGGTCGTTGCGCGTGCGATATGCGCCAGGAACGCGCCAGCTGCCCCCGACCGCACGGAGCGCTCCGCCGCTCTCCGACGACTCCTGCCCCCGTGTGGCTCCAACACGGCCTTGGGCAGCCCGAATATCGCTTTGAGACGCTCCGGAGGGCGCGAGGACGTCCCAAGGGAGCCTCGGCGGAGCCCCGTGTCGGCCCCAGAGGGTCCGATGACGGGCCAGGTGCCTCCGAAGACGGCCCAAGACGACCCCGAGGCACCGGAAAGAGCTTTCCGACTCCGAACTTTCCGACTCCGCAGTCGGCCAGTCGGCCCGTCGGGGAGTCGGCCTGTCGGGGAGTCGGCCAGTCGGCCAGTCGGCCAGGGACGGGGGCGAGTCGGATAGTTCATGCCGGTGCCCCCAACAAAAATTGTCCAAATGCCCCGGGACGAGGCCAACATTCTAAGATTTAAACAAGTTTCCGACGGTGTCCTCCAACATGACAATTTCCGGCAACTCTCCAGACACCACCTCCTTCTCCTCCTCCTCCTCCTCCTCCTCCTCCTCCTCCCTCCTCCTCCTCCTCCTCCTTCTCCTCCTCCTCCTCCTCCTCCTCCTCCTTCTCCTCCCCCTCTTCCTCCTTCCGTCTCCTCCTCCTCCTCCTCCTCCTCCTCCTCCTCCCCCTTCTCTTCCTCCTCCTCCTCCTCCTCCTCCTCTCCTCCTCCTCATCCCCCCCCCCCCCCTCCTCCCCCCCTTCTCCTCCTCCTCCTCCTCCTCCTCCTCCTCCTCCTCCTCCTCCTCCTCCTCCTCCTCCTCCTCTTACCGCTTACCGATCCATGCGCATCGATCCTCTGACAGGTAGCGCTGTGGCCGCGCCACTTAGATGATCACCTCCATGGGGGCTCCAGATCGTCTGGCTGGGGCCACTCTTTATACCCAGGTGGGAGTCTACTATCCTCGAGGGCTCTGATGGCCCTATCCCCATGCTTCGTTATGGGCTGCGAGGCGTTGCAAGGTTTCCCCAATTTGCAGAATCTTTGGGCCCCGACCCCTCCACACACTCTGCACCAGAAGAAACACGAAAACGCATGAGCTTGTGGGAGGGGTCGAGCCTCAGCGGGACGCCTCGGCACGGGGTTCCTAACCACTGGAGCTTGGGGCAAGCTGCCGTGGGGCGCCCGTGACAAAGCCGACAGTCCACACCTCGGGCGCCGTGCGCCAGGCGGTGCTGGGTCGAGACTGCGGCAGCCTGTTCGCTCTCCCTCCGACCCTCCGCCCGCAATGTGGCCTCTCGCTGCCGATCTTGCCTCGAAGAGGCTCCATAAATCTCTGGGGCGCGCGAGGCAATGTGACTGGCTATCCTCAGCAGGCGAGAATGCACTGAGCTGGCCAAAACATCGATCCGTTGGACTGCGGCTATGTCCATGGCTGGGAGCTGCGCTGCGCGGGCCCCTTCTTCCGCACATGCGTCCGCACACTGGTTGGCCAGCCAATGCTGGGGGTCCACTTCGGCCCGCTGGGCCTCATCAGGAGTCTGATGGGATTTGATTTTGTGCACCGCTATCTGCCTGCCACTCGCCACACTCCAAAACTTGGCCCACAGCTTTTTGTTAGACTCATGGGGAGCTTGTGGGCCTTTGCTGATTCCTGAGGCAACACTTTGCGCACCTACAATTAGCACAATTGGGCCTGACGTCAAACTGGCTGCCTGTGTTGCCGCTACTAACTCCGAGATCGGGACGGTTTGTTTCCAGTGGCCGACTGGGCCATGCGCCCACGCCACGAGCTCCCATCCTTTGACAATTGCAAAGCCCCACCCGCATCGACGCAGGCGGTAATCATCATGATACTTTCCCCCCGACCCGTCCGTCGCCACCACCATCCCGTCAAGTAGTGGGCAGACTGCCGCGCTGCCAAGGGTGCCTCCTACTTCTATGCTCCCCTGGATCGGGCGCGTGGCGTGTGGATATGTCCACAAAGCTGGAACCAACCCCCTGAGCCAAAAACATGGGGCCTCATCTACTTCTTGCTGGGCCTGGTGCTCAAGCTCCTGTGAGACTCCTTCAATGCCCGCATTGCACGAGCACTCCCAACATGGATGTAAAAGAGTCTCCTGGGCCGCCTGGCATCTAGGACACTGAGGGCTGCTCCGCGTGGGTCTTCTTGGGCCTTCCTGCTCGGCCTCCTCCTCCTCCTCCTCCTCCTCCTGCTCCCCCTCCTCTTCTCCCTCCTCGACGCTCCAGCCGCTCTGGGGACCCTCTGCTGCTTCCGGGGCCTCCCCGCTCTTCTCTCCGTTCTCTCCACTCCTCCCCGACCCGCCTTGCTTCCAAGCTCCCGCCACTGGGCCCCCCCCGCACAGCCGAGTCGGGGGGGCGGAGTGGGCACGCAGCCACTTCCAGGCCTCTCCACCAGCACCCGCGCCCTTTGCCGTTCCTGGGGCCTCACCGTTCCTCGCACGGTTCTGTTGGCTTCGGCCTGCCAGCCGTGGATTTTCCACGGGTTCAGACAAGTCGGCTACAGCGCTGGGATCAGCGCGTGCGAGAAGGGCGAGCAGTGGCAGCGGGCGCTGGCGCTGCTCAGCGAGATGGCAGAGGTGAAGCTGAAGCCCAACGCCATCAGCTATAATGCTGGGATCAGCGCGTGCGAGAAGGGCAAGGAGTGGCAGCGGGCTTTGGCGCTGCTCAGAGAGTTGTGGGAGGCGAAGCTGGAGCCCACCGTCATCAGCTACAGCGCTGGGATCAGCGCGTGCGAGAAAGGCGGGCAGTGGCAGCCGGCGCTCGCGCTGCTGAGCGAGATGCGGCAGGCGAAGCTGGAGCCCAGCGCGATCAGCTACAATGCTGGCACCAGCGCGTGCGGGAAGGGCGTGCAGTGGCAGTGGGCGCTGGCGCTGCTTCGCGAGATGTGGGAGGCGAAGCTGGAGACCGAAGTCATCTATGCTAGAACGCCGGCGGAACCGCGTGCCACAAGGGCGGGGAACAGCCAATAGGGTCAAAACGGGCCCCAGCCGGCCCCCGGGGGGCTCCAGTACGGGTTCTGAGGGCCCCAACCAAGACGGCCCAAGATGGCCCAAGACGCCTCCAGACGGCCCAAGAGGTCGCCAATATGGCTGTCGGACGGCTCTGCAGTGCCAGAAGATGGTCCAAGAGGGCTCGAAGTGGTCCTCAAGAAGGGCTCCGAGAGGCCAACATTATTGTTTTCTATTTGGCTTTTGAAGGCTAACAGCGTTCTCGCTGTCTCGGAGTCTCGACGTTCCAAGCCAGCCCCAGGTTCCCCAATATCGCGCCACGATGGCCCAAGAGGCCCTCGAGAGAGCTCCCAGACAGCCCTAAGAGGGCCCAAAGACGGCCCACGAGTCAAGAGGCCCCCCACACGGCCCAAGACGACCCCAAGAGGGCCTCACGAGGGGGAGCACCAACTGATATCCTGCGCCCTGCGCTTCAGGATGATCAGGAAATCGCCAGCTGACTTCCAAGACTCCACCCCCGACGCCCAAGAAAAGCCCAAGTTCAGAAAACTGCCCAAGAAAAGCCCAAGTTCAGAAAGGGGCCCGAGAGGCCAAAATCATTGATTCTTTTGGTTTTTGAAGGGTTTCAGCGTTCTCGCCTTTTCGGAGTCTCCACGCTCCCATCCGGCCCCGGGGCCCCCAAGAACGTACCAAGAGATCCCACGAGGCTCCCGAGAGAACTACCAGACAGCCCAGGAGGGCCCCAAGACGGCCCAAGACGGACCCAAGAGGGCCCCACGAGGAGGACCTCGAGCTGACCTTTCGCGCCCTCCGCTCCAGGATGATCCCAAAAAACTGCCAGCTGTCCCCCAAGAGGTCCCCCAGACGCTCCCGAAGGCTCCCCGAAGAGGCCCAAATCAAGTCCCAAGAGACTCGAAAGGCCACAAGACGCCCCCATAACTTCCGAGGGAAGGTCCCTCAGAGAGCTCTGGGACCGCGCCGGTCACCCAGGCAAATAAGGCGCCCAAGCGCCTCTTATTTTCTCCCCTCCTTTGTAAAGGCTCCTGTCTGAATTTCTCGCCTCTTCGGAGCCTCCACGCCCCAAGCCCGCCCCAGGGCTCCCACGATCGCGCCAAGATGGCCCAAGAGGCCCCCAAGAGAGCTTCCAGACAACCCAAGAGGGCCCGACGACGGCCCAAGAGGCCCCCAAACGGCCCCAAGAGGGCCCCACGAGGGGGACCTCGAACTGACCTTTCGCGCCCTCCGCTCCAGGATGATCCCAGAAACCACCAGCTGGCCCCCAAGAGGTCCCCCAGACGCTCCCGAAGGCCCCCCAAGAGGACCAAATCAGGCCCCAAGAGACCACCGAGGGGCCACAAGACGCTTACAACAACGTCTCCAAGAGGCTTCCGAGGGAAGGTCCCTCAGAGCGATCTGGGACATCAGGCGCCCATACGCACCTTATTTTCTCCCTTCCTTTGCAAAGGCTACTCAGCGAGATTTGGAAGGCGAGCAGGACGCCATCTATCCTGATCGCCTGGCAGCAGCACCCATTCACCCCGCAAATGGACGTAGTCCACGGGTCAGCCCTAGTCTCTTCTACAATGCAGCGACCTTTGCGTGCGAGAAGGGTCTCTGTCTTGACCAGCGGTTCCGACCTCAAAACAGCTCAGGGAGGGGTCCAGATGCTCCAAAAACGGCCCTAGACGGCCTCGGAGCGGCTCGGGGAGGCTCGAGTGGGCGCCAAGACGGCCTCAGAGCACCCGTGGGAGCCCCAAGACAGCCCAAGAGGCCCCCAGGCGTCCAGGAGAGCCCCAAGAAGCCGAAATCGTCCCATCCCCTCCGGGAAACGCAGATTTCCACTATGTTCCGTTTTTTTCGTTCTCACAGCGTCCAAGACGGCTATACAGGCCCCTCAGCTCGCCCCAAGACGCGCCCAGGGGCTCCCAGGAGGACCCCCACACGGTCCGAGACGGCCCCAGGACGGCTCCAGAGGCGCCCGAGACGGCCCAAGACGCACCCAAGACAGCCCCAAGAGCAGCCAAGAATGGCCCCAAACGGCCCCAAGACAGCCCCAGAGGCGCCCAAGACGCCCCGAGATAGCCCCAAGACTACCCAAAAGGCACCCAAGACGGCCCAAGAGGTCCCCAAGAGGGCCCCAAGAGCCCCAGGAGGCTGAAAAGAGGCCCCCAAACGGTTCCCAAGAGGTATGTCGCCTCAACATTGTTTCTAATCGAGCGGGCAGAGGCGACCCAAGATGCACCCAAGACGGCCCCAGAAAGCCCCAAGAGACCCCCAGGAGGCCCAACAGAGGCCCCCAAACGGCCCCCAAGAGGTAAGTGGCTTCAACATGACCTCTTTTACAGGGAGACGTGAGAAACAGCTCTTGTCGTGCCTATGTGGGTCTGCTTCCATTGACACCACCTCCGCCACCGCGTTCGTGCCTTCAGACCTGCTTGCCTGCATCCCTCGCCCACCTCCCCCTCCAGCGGCCACCTCCTTCATCCACACCGTCCCCTCCAACCTCCCCCCCGCGAGGCACCCGAGATGCTCTACTTCACGTCCACGCCATGGCGGGCAGATTAGTCTATATTCTAACGCCGGGGGCGCCGCGTGCCAGAATGACGCAGGACCCAGTGGGTCAAAACCGCCCCGGGCTGGTCCGGGGCCGCTCCAGGCCGCCCAGGGAAGCCTGAAGACGGGCCCAGAGGGCCCCAAGACGCCCCCAAGACGGCCCAAGAGTGCCCCGAGACGCCCAATGATTGGGCCAGGACGCCCAAGGACGGCCCAAGAGGTCTCCCAGACGCCCCAAGAGGCCTCTCAAGAGGGCCCCGAGAGGCAAGAGTCGTTGAATTTCAGTGTTTTTTTCTGGTCTCTCTTTTTCGGCTTCCCGACGCTCGAAGACCGCCCAAAAGGCCCCCAGGACCGCTGCAAGACGGCCGAAGAGGCCCCCAAGAGAGTTCCACGACGGCCCAAGAGGGCCCCTATGACGGCCCAAGAGGCGCGCAGGAGAGCCCAAAATACTGCCAAGAAGGCCTTAAGAGAGGCCCAAGAGAGGGACCACATATTAAAATATCCAGATATCCGCCCTGAGAAGGCCCAAGGAGACCCCAAGAGGCTTCCAGGAGGCCCCAAGGGGCCCCCGACGGGCCCGGCAGACCCCCAAGAGGCTCCCAAACGGCTCCCATGAGACCCTGCGAGCCTTCCGAATTGCTTCCATGAGAGAAGTGCTCCCGAGAGGCGAGAGGCATCTCTCAGACCCACGACAGACGCCGGAGACCTCGTTGCATACAGTCACACTGTCGAGATTGCCCTTGCGTTCTTGTCTGCTCGGGCCTGTGGCTTCGCCTCTCGCAGACGTAATTATTGAACATTGTCGCCCAAGGGTCTTGCATCCAGTCGTTGTGCCCGCACACCCTGCATCTCTCCGTCCAGGCTCTGAGGCCTCCGAGCGCGCCGGCAAGTTCAGAAAATAGAACACCCATGCCTCTCTTATTTTCGTTTTCTTTTGCGACAGATTTCTGTCCGCACGGGTGTCCTGTTCAGGACAATCGTAGGCTCACGGCCATACTCCTTTGTTCCGAAGCAGCTGCGGATTCCACACGGTCTCATCGGACGGAGATTTCTAACCAGGGTGTGTGCCGGCGCGCCACTCGGCGCCCGCGCCCGTCACAAACCACTCATGCACCCCTTCTGTTCCCATTTCCTGCCAGCCGTTCCGTGGAAGCGTCCCGCCAGCTTCCTCACACTTCTTCATCCCCACTCCACCACTTCGGAGGCAGTGCGATATCCTCGGACGATCCTCCTACGGACCATTCGTCCGCCCCGGCCCCTTAGGAAAATAAGGCATCCCAGGATATCTTACTTTCCTTTGCCGTCGGAGTACCTCCAAGAGACAGTTCAAGAGGGCCCCAGGAGACTTCCAGGAGGCCGAAAAGAAGCGTTGAGAGGCTCCAAGACGACCTCGAGAGGCCCCAAGATCACGGCCCAAGGAGCACCGAAGACAGCACCAACAGCAGCCAAAGACTGCCTAAGACGGCCACAGACGGTCCCAGAAAGGCTCCCAGGGCACCATGGGCCTCTGATGCTTGTTTGGCGCTCCCTGCCGGATTTGGCCCAAAATCCCTCGTCCTTTCTGTCGGTCTGGAGCCCTCTCCGCGGTCTCTTGGGGCCATGCCGTGTTTCGCTTTTTTCTGGTGGCCCAGCATCGCCTCGGCCGACCCCGGAAATGCGCCCGGCCGCCCTGGGCGCGTCGGGCGGGATTCTGGGTCGGCGGCGCGATGGCCCAGAATCGGTCCCGCCGATTCTGGGCGGGCGGCGATTATGGGGATATCTAGGAGGCGTGTTGGTGATTTTGGGGCCCCTCAGAGGGCCCCCGGACGGCCCCAGAACGCCCCGAGAAGGTCGGACCCAACGCACCGACACAGCCCGACCCGATCCCAAGGGAGCATTGAGCGCCCCAGGTGGGGCGTCCAGACGCTCCTCCGTCTCCTCGCTCAGCGATGTGTGGCAGGCGAACATGACGCCATTCATCCTGATCGCCTTGCGACAGCGCCCGCAAGTGGACGTAGTCCACCGGGCAGCCCTAGTCTCTTCTCTATGGCGGACATCAGCGCGTGCCAGAGGGGCAAAACAGCGCATGTGGATACATGCGCCCCCTGGAGGGCCAGATTTCGATACCCCTCACGCAGATCCTGGCCCCCGAGCGTCACACATCGAGTCCCCCGCCCAAAGGCGCGCCGAAGTGGCCATAAGAGGCTCCAAGGAGCGCCCAAGAGGCCCCCTAGAGGCCCCCAACAAGGCCCAAGAGGCCTCCAAGAGCCTCCCACAGTCCTCCGAAGCATGCCCCCAGAGGCCAAAATCCTTAATTGTTCAATGGAGTTTGAAGGAGGTTTGCCTTCTCGCCTTCTCGGCTAGCCGACGCTCCAAGACGGCCGAAGAGACCCACAAGACCGCCCCAGGACGGCCCAACAGGCTTCCAAGCGCGTCTC